CAGGTGTGTTCAAATCGAATGGCGGCCTACCTCTCTGGAGCTCCTTCAAATGGCGGGCGGGCGGTGTTGCAGGTGGCAATTCTCGGACTGCCCCAAGCGGCCAACGGTCTGCAAAGTGTGCTGTGAGGGCGGGTAGCACTGAGTACAAAAAAACGAAAATGGGGCCGGTCGGGGCGCCCTAAGCGACCGGTACAGGCCCCGAAATTCCACCTGACCTTTTTTGGGGGGCGCCCTGGACCCAAGGAACGGGTCCAGGGCGCGCCCTAATTTTTTTGAATTTTGGGGTTTCGGACCCCTCCGGATGGGCCTCCTACCGTCTGGCATCCGGACACCGGACCCCAGACCGTCTGGATGCCCATCCGGATGTCCGCATGGTAGCCATGCTTTCTTCACTGTGTTCACTTTGTCTTTTTTGGGTACCCATTTCATTTGTCCTTGCAACTCCCCTTTTACTGTGCCTCTCATGTACAAGGCTCGCCATGTTGGTGGTGGTTGAGTGTGACCTGCCCGCATTCCCCTGTGCCATAACGGCATGTGTGTTGTGAATGTTCACCACAACATCCCCTGTTCCACCCAGATGAGAAGGTCCTGTCTGTGTTTTGAATTTCACCACGACCGCCCTTATTCCGCCCAGATAAGCAGATCCAAAATAAAAAGCATATTCAATCCTATTACAGACAACGAAAGCCCTTGAGTTGAGACAATCCAACAGTGAAACAGTTTCACCTCTATAGCAAGCAACATGGAGTGCAATAGAGGCATGTAAACCCCTTTCTTGATTGTGTTCACGTTTGCTTTCTTTGAGGTACCCCTTTTATTTGTTCTTGCAGCTCCCCCTTTACTGCGCCTCTCATGCACAAGGCTCACCACGTTGATTGTGGTTGAATGCGAGCTGCCCACATCCCCGTGTGCCATAACGGCCTACTTGTACACTACGAAAGGAGGCAGAGCAAAGACGGAGGTATATTCCTGTTCATTTCTTCTCAGATCTTCAACTTATATTTTGTCTGTTCTCGTAATGATGCTCATTCGTATGTATTACTAGTAATACAGAAGAGGAGGGAGGGAGGAAATGGGAGGTGGAGTTCTAACAGGGTTCTAAACAGTGACCGCTGGGGCAGACCACTCTAGAATGGCACATGCGGCCAGTCAGTGTGTGGGTTGCATAAGATTTGAGGAGCAATCATTGCCTATGGTAAGTGGCCACCTCTACAGACCGGGCAGGACCGGTTCGGGTGTGGCCTGTGGAAGCACCGCATCCAGTTCTCGCAGTCGCAGTTACTGAATTGAATGGCATGGCAGAGACAGATGTCACAGGTTACGTGGCTCCTATATGCTAGGAACACAGAGGCAAGCCGACCGCAATTGTAGAGGCATTGCTGTTCCAGCCCCTGTCTACAAATTGGACATGACATGTCAGGGTGCCGTACATGAGTGCAGTGGAGGCTGTCATCGGGTTATCCCTTCATAATCCTCACGGCATAAGGCATGTGAACCACATGCTAGCTGAATCTTCGATGGGCCATCACAAAGTGGCGTGGAGCAAGTTTCTTGGGTTTCCTCAATATTTATTCCTTCTCTATAAGTAGACGACGACGGGGTAGATTGGTCCAAGGCAAGGGTGTTTAGCTGCTGCAGGATTTGGTCCGCAACAGCTCACGCTGGTGGAGACAACCTATAAGTACAGTGCTCTGTGGGCTGCAGTGTCTGTCGTTCGTCAGGCAAGGAAGAAGGAATTCTGACTGCGGTTGTAGCAGGTGTATAACCAACACCGCATGTGGGACATGCTATGAGAGGATGTGACAGATGATGGCACCGGGGATAGTCCACGCAGTAGAGACACATACTTTCTTTGACAGCTTGCTGGAAACATTGACGACACATGGGATGTTGCTGACATGTCATCAGTAAAGAAAGCTGATGTGCGCAATTATTCAAACATGGCAGATCAAGGCCATGACAGCATGCTGGGCAAGTAATCGAGGGGTAGGGGGGATGAGGACAAAAAAAAGGATCGCAGTTTTCGTGGCAGAGGCTGGCAGCGACCATCCCTTCATACTAGTTCATAGTGTTTGGATCAAAGGCTATGCCGTGCACATGCTAACCGAGCTGCGCCAGTGCAACGACACAATGGGAGGAGGGCACACTCTCCATCCCCTGGAGAGAACCCTTCACTGTTCGTGGTAGAATCCGTCCAATCCACACAGGGAGGGGATGCTGCCTGCCCATGCACAGGGGAAGAAAGAGGTTCAACCGGATTGCTCTCCGGAGGCAGTAGTGCTTGCGACTGTTCATCGACATACTGTTCGTGATGGACGAGCCAAACCGAGTGATGCTTTCCTGCTGCGTGCACCCTACTGCCATTGTCCCATAGGGTCCATGAGTTATCCACAAGGGTAAGAGCACTGAAATGACCTGGACGATGTAAGATGTATGCCCGGATATTCGGATCCATGCCTGGCACGTGATTTTGCGGAGCAGGCTGGAGTCGTGACTGCCTACCCATAAATGCCATAGACAGGACTTCTATGTTCGTTCCAGGTGCAGCGCTGTCGTCCTCCAGGCAGACGGCACGATGCTCTTCTTCTATCCAGCAGACAACGTCTGCAAAATCACAAACAGTATAAGGGTTGCAATTGTAGGCAAGGAGACATTCATTAATGGCATAGTATGCACAGCGGCATCACTGTAGCACTATGACATCATCCGATTCTGCAGGTTGTGCGGCAGGGGGAGGTTGATCCAATTCTGCAGATTGCACGGCAGGCTGAGATTCATTGTCGTCTTGACCATTTCTGTCAGGTTCCTCGCGCTGTATTAACTCCATTGAATCCGGTATGCACTCCAGAGAGAGATCATCTAAAGTCGGAGGCTCCGTCAGGTGATCAGAAGGTGGATTATTATCATTTCTGGCGGGGGCGCATGTAGGGTCAGGTGGATGAGGAATAGACGAGTCCGATGCAAGAAGCGGAGGTTGATCCGCACTTGTGCTCAAAGTGGCTGCTAGTCGTGCAAATCCTGCACAGGTAGCTGCACCTCGTGTCTGGTGCGCATGAAGGCCTGCAGCACTGAAGAAATCATCGCCACATTGCGGGCATCGGACTCGATATGTACTACTCCTGGCCAGTGTATATTGAGAGGGACGATGTGTGTCTGTGTGCCTGTGCATGTTTACGCAAATGTGTGTGTGCTCTATAATGTCATCGCAACAACCCCTTTTCCACCCAGATGAGCAGATTGAAAATTGAAACAGCTTTACCTCTATAGCAACTAAATTGAAGCACTCTAAGATGAGCAGAGACAAAATTGAAACAGCTTTACCTCTCTAGCAAATAGCATGAAGCAGAACAAAACCATTATGTTGTCTTTTCCTTGTACACTGTACAGTCCTTTCTTCACTTTCTTTACTTTGGCTTTCTTTGGGTTACCCCTTCTATTTCTCCGTGCAGCTCCCCTTTTACGATGGCTCTAACATACAAGGCTTGCCACATTGATTATTGTTGACCGCAAGCTGCCCACATCCCCGTGTGCGATAGGAGGCAGAGTCAAGGGGAAGGTATACTCCTGTTCATTTTTCCTCAGAGCTTCAGCTTATATTTTGTCTGTTCTCTTAAATAATGCTCATTTGCATGCACCTAGTAGTAGTACACAAGAGGAGACAGGAAGGAAAGGGGTTGGGGGTGGAGTTCTGAAGGGAGAAGGGGACGAGGAGGGAAATGGAGGGAACAGAGGAAAGACAAACTTCACAGGGTTATCAACACTCACTGCTGGAGCAGACTACTATAAAATGGCACAAGAGGCCAGTCAGTGTTTTGGTTGCTGGGAAATTCGAGTTGAGGAGCAGCGGTTGCCCATGGCAAGTGGCCACCTCTGCAGACTGGACAGAACTGGTTTGGGTGTGGACCATGGAAGCACTGCATCCAATTCTCGCAGTTGCAGTTACTGCATCGAATGGCACAGTGTAGACAGATGTCACAGGCTACATGGCTCCTACATGCTAGGAACATGTGTGTGTGCACGTGGCTGCATGTGGGTGCATGTCTGTGTCAATGTCTGCCTCACTCGCATGCATCCATGCACCTCTGTGTGTGCTTTTCATATGCGCATCTGTGTCCATGGTGTGCCTGCATATGCATGTGTGGGTGTTTGTGTGTAAGTGTGTGTGTCAGTTGCCGGTGGTGGCGTCGAAGCTGACCAGTACAAGTACGAAACTAATTTGCATGCTAGTGCGGTCGTCAATGGGCAAAACGGGTCCAGGTTGCAGGGCTGATGGCCAATCTTGGCCATCTTCCAAGTAGGACTGCTGCACAGATTGGAGTCAATCTGAAAAAGTTCTGACTGGCCTCCAATATGGACCATCAGCCAGGTAGGACCTGTTGGCGGCCCCAATTTCAGAATTTCGACACCATTGATTTCTTTAGTGGTGGGGATAGTGCCACCAGTTTTCGAAGACTCACGCTGGATGCACGGCACCAGGCTTCTTGGGAACATGTGGCACTGCAAGTCATTCTTCAGTCAACCAGCCTTCTAAAAAACAATGCACATGCTCTATTGTTCACAGTACCTGTCTATCCAGTAGCATCAGGCAGAGCCAAGGGAGTGAGATAACATCACAATCTTACAAAAATGATCACAGAGATGAGGAGAAACTGTGAGTGATATGATTTGTCAATCATTGTTGACTTTCATTCTTATCTGACCCTGTGATCCCCCTATTTTACTTATCATGGCAACGGTTAACATGCACGATTGCAGGTGGAAACCCCATGGCACAGATCAACGTTGAGAAAATGATATCTACTGCACAGCAAGAAGATGGGAAGTGAGTCCTTTGGGACATCTGTTAAAATCGGAACGACAAAGAGAAGATTAGCATGACCAATGCGATTGGATGACACACATAAATCGAGAAATAGTCCAAAAAAAAACAAAGAAAAAGGAAATGAAAGGAGATTCAAGTGGTCACAACACAGTACTTCTCAGGGAAGGGGCTCACAGACCTTTCGCAATATGTTTCCACACCGCTGCATCAGCTCCGCCATTCTCTTTTCCCTTGCCGCTTCCCGTTTTTCCTTATTAACCTTTGCCAACTTTACTGGGTTTTGAGTCTTTTGTTGACCTGTCTTTCTCGGCACTGAGTTCTTTTTCTCCTTACGACCCGGGCATCCATTCAGTATGACATTTGCAATATCTCCCTTTATGCCTGGCAGCAACACAGATGTTTCAGCCCTATTGACAATACAGTTCTTCACAAATGCCCTTATCCGCATCACCTCCACAACTTGCCTCTCCATCTGCAGGTAAACAGAGCCCACAGAAAAATGCCTCGACATGTTAGTCTCAGTGGCAGAAGCCCATGAAGAGAGTTGAATTCTTTCGATAGCAAAAGAAGGTCCCCAAGGGAGGCATCTGTCCACCCATCTAAAGAGGCATGGTTGGATGTTGGGCGATCTAAGTTCCACCCAGGGGCTGGGTATGCGCCACGTGGCGAAATTCCATTCCGGTGCAGAGGATATGATACACAAGCAGCTACATATGAATAATTGAGGGAATGGGGGATGGCACAACCGAGAAGAAAGGAGCAGTAAATGACTTGGCCTCCCCAGTTTTATTTCTATTGGAACTTGTTGCTATTGATGAAAAGGAGGTTATGGAAACAAGTACTCACTGAGTTCTATCCCTGTTTTTGTCCCTGTGCTCATTGTAAGGATGTTTTTGGCAAATGCAATCACAAATGGGTGGGTGATGCTATGGCAGCACATACCTGATAATAGTGGAAATATCTCCCCATGGAAAGGGGCCTGGGGAATGAAAGAAGTCCTTTAGTCAGGGCACAAGAGATGCACAACAAAGGCAAAAATGACACTCTTGCATAGGCCAAGGAACTAGACTACTGAGTAGTATTGACTTTTCACAGGATGATGACTGTAAGGTAAAGTTGGGAGACATGCATATAAATTTATATAAGGCATACTATCGGTTGACCGTTGTCTTTTGTACACTCTGCGTTTGGTGAGTTCCTTTGCCCATTCTCCCTTTGTTCTCTAAATATAACTAGCTTAGCACCCCTGGTGCTTAGGCGATGTTTTTTACTCATGTAACTTGTGTCCATTTCAGTATACACAGCAAATAAGCAAACCTACAATGCAAAAACATGTATACACAAACAACCGTCCGCCTGGTGTTCTGCGGAAAAATTCATCGTCAAATTCCGCTTCAAGGATGTAAAAGAATTGGCAACATGTCGAAGTCAACTCCCATTGACAGAACGAGATTCCTGTAGCTCACGACAAATAGAGAATTGCTCCTATATTTTCTGATGATAGTTCGTTGGCAGCAAACATATCGCATGTCCTAGTATAATCCCCCCCCCCCCCCCCCCCCCCCCAACTCCTCTCTCTCTCTCTCTTACAATGCAAAAACATGTATACACATACGACCGTTCGCCTGGTGTTTGGCAGAAAACTTCACCGTCAAATTCTGCGTTAACGCCGTCAAGGATGTAAAAGAATTGGCACCATCTCAAAGTCAACTCCCACTGACAGAACGAGATTCCTGTAGCTGACGATGAATAGAGAATAGCTGCTACATTTTTGGATGATAGTTCGTTGGCAGCAAAACCTATCGCTTTTTCTCTCTCTCTCTCTCTCTCTCCCCCCCCCCCCCTCTCTCTCTCTCTCTCTCTCTCTCTCTCTCTCTCTCTCTCTCTCTTATAATGCAAAAACATGAACGCACAAACAACCATTCGCCTGGTACTCTGCAGAAATTCATCGTCAAATTCCGCGCGTAGAATGTAAAAGAATCGGCAATTTGGCACCATGTTGAAGTCAACTCCAATTGACAGAACGAGATTCCGGTAGCTTATGACGAATAGAGAATTGCTGCTATATTTTCTCACGATAGTTCGTTGGCAGCAAACCATAGTGCATGTTCTATATTACCCCCCCCCCCGCCCCCCTCTTATCTCTCTCTCTATCTATCTACCTATCTATCTCGATCAATCTATTGAGGAAAGTGCATATATCCAAAACATGGTTGTGGCTCATTCCCTTTGAGGAAACCTTGGGTTTGAAGTCTTTTGATGTATTTAGCGGTATCCGCAAAGACAGTCAAATTCTTACGCGCTTTCGCGCTTCATGGGATTCAGACGCGAAGCGTCTGCTCTTCGAGCCGAGATGAAAAATGCCATCAAGTCCAAAAACTTCAAAACTTTTGATCTTGAATTCGTGATAAAAAGGCGCCGCTTATACACTGAGCTTTGCCCTTTACTAACCATTTTGCGTTTTTCCAATTTCACCTGACTGTGAGACCTACATGTCGATCAGAGACGAAAGTCGGCCATAGTGATCCGGGGCCCCCATCTATCCGTATCTTTTCCTATTTATCTTTCTATCTACCTACTTCCCTACCTATTCCTTTTTTTTTTTCCCTACCTGTTCCTATCTATCCATGTATCTATCTATCAACCCTTCCTTCCTTCCTTCCTGCCTTCCTGCCTGCCTCCTGCTTCTCTGCCTGCCTGCCAGCCGGTTGGCTGGCCCGCCCACCCGCCCGCACGCCTGCCGGCCTGCAGGCCTGCCTACCTGCCTACCTACCTACCTACCTACCTACCTACCTACCTACCTGGCTACCTACCTTCCTTGACTTACGTGTATATGCACAATGTCATCAGTTGAGACTTTTCACAGCAACATTATCAAATATTTATCGAGCCCACTCTGAAACTCTAAGTGATCCGAACATAAACGTAACTAGCCTATCCCGCCAACATTAACAAATGTCGAGCCCACTCCAAAACTCTGATGATCCGAATATAAACGTAGCTAGCCTATCCCACCAGCTTGTATCAACAGGTTTGTTTTTGCAGTAGTGACCTGGTCATGCACGAATGGAAGTTTCAGCAGGTGCACACACAAGATATTTTATTGGGTCCCTCAACGCATTCTAGTTCCTATGCAAAGTTGAGACACAAATACAAGTGTCATAAGACTTCTCAAAATGAAGCCTCTCCATGCACTATTTGATCATTTTGCTTTGAAAAGTCTCAACTGATGACATTTTGCATATACACGTAGGTCACTACTTGTCAGTGCAAGCCCCTGACAAGGATGGCAGTATACTCATCGAGCACTGCCTGTTGACGAGGTGTGCTAGATGACGCAGGAAAGGAGCACGGCGCATTTCAGAAGCACATGCTCGTTTAGACAAAACACATGGTGCAGGCTCCATAGTCGGGGATGTGTTTTGTGAAACCCAGCATGGAACGTCGGGGAATTTCATTCCCTTGAAGTACAGTGGCATCGTGCGCCAGCAGTGCTGGCGCATTTTGTGAAGACACGTGTGCAGAACCCCCGGCGTCACCCTGTGTCGATGGCACTTATAACAATGGACGACCGTCCTCGTCATCCTGGCACAAATTGATTTGTGTCTATTACTCGCAAACACGTCGACACAAGTCGGGGGGTCAAAGTGGCACGGCCACTGCACCTTTGTTGGGTGGCAATATGACATCAAAGAGGGAGCGTGAAACCAAGATGCCCCCTTCCTGTTGCTGGAATGCGTCCAACTGTACTGGGCCACACACATGCGACAGTGCATCCATCAAACACATAAGACGGGTGGACTGGTATTTCAGCGGAAGAGATGTTGGCTGCAATTGCACCTTCTTCCATAAGCTTTTCAGTGCGCAATTTCTTGTGCTGTTGTTCGCCACACAAAGACGGTGTTGAAAACCCTCGCACCGCCACATCAGCATGCGCGGGGAGGAATGGGGACCCTCCAAGAATACTGCGTGCCCAATCAGGCACAGCGAACAACCTCGGCACACGCAACAGGGACGGTATCAGCAACAATCCCCGTCCATCTGAAGGGCTCACGGCAGAGGAGGGCAAAGGAGTCGTCATGGCTCCATGAAGAATGCACTGTGTATGCATACATGTTGATTGGTATGTGTGTGGTTGTGTGGGTGGATATGTGTGTGTGCGTGTGTGCGTGTGTGTGTGTGTGTGTGTGTGTG